GAAGTCGTAGTACCCACGTCATCTATCACATCAGCACCTGGGGGTCCCGATCCTGAACCAACAGGAGAACCAGTACGTCGTCTACGTGAAAAAACTACTTTGGCAACTCTACGGCCCCTCACCGAATTGGAGCTTGAGATTGAGGAGTTGGCGGCAACCTACGATGTAGAAGAGCAGTACAACGAAGAGGCAGTCCTAGCGGTTTTTGGGATGTTGGAGCGAACTCGCTTACAGGAGTCAACTGCTGCCAATCGCAAGTCTCAGACGGCTTCTACGTCATGGTCAACGGGGATGTTTACCCATGGTGGAATCTCAAGGATGAGACAGTCATCTGTGAGAATGCCGGCTACAACATCGTTCTTGGCAAAGGCGGCAAAAGAAATTACTGGAATGACCCACTTTGGAGCGGTAGCTGTGACAAGAGGATCTCAGTTGCGCGCACACCGAGACTCTCACAATGATTTGGCGTCCCAAAACACTGTGGCTGCGCTTACAGTGTTTCAAGGTGGTGGATTGTGGATCGAAGACGAGGATGGAGAAGCATGGCTTGTGCTACGCCCGCTATATGGACTGAGGGAATCACCCGCTGTTTGGGCCGAGCACAGAAATGGGAGGTTCCGTTCGCTACGCATTCCTTACCGAGGCGGCTACATCGTGCTCCAGCAGTCGAAGGTGGACTCAGAGTTGTGGTTCGCCATAAACCAGTCGGGGGCTCAAGAAGCTCAGGGTAGCCTGATCGCCCTGATTGTGGCCTACGTTGATGATTTGTTCTACATTGGGCCAGAGGCAGTGGTGAAGCTACTTCACGACTGGGTTAGTGCTGAATGGCCGTGTTCGGAGTTACAGTGGGCATCCTCACCAGAAGGAGTTCGGTACCTTGGAATGGAGATCTTCCAGAGGGAGACAGGCGAGTACGAGGTGACGCAGCAGGGCTATATCATGGATTTGATTCGATCTCATGACCTCACAAGGGCTCCTCAGACTTTGTTGCCGTGCCCGAAGGAGTGGATCACTGATGAGGTGGACACCGAGTCTGAAGTTTTTTCAGAACAAGACCTTCGGTTTGCTCAGAAGCTGATTGGAGAGCAGCTGTGGCTGGCAATGCGCTGCAGACCAGATGTGCATTTTGTCGTGAGCTACATGGCGAGCTGGGTGAGCAAGCATCCATTGAGAATTACGAGGCTGGCGTTGCGAGTGCTCTCCTACCTACACAAGACGGCCGGTATGAAGATGGTCCTCGGTCAACCTTCTGACGGAGGTGCAAGCGATGCAGCTACAGCACACGCCAGCAGCAGCAACGAGCAACACAGCAAGCAACATGGTGGTTGGGAAGGGTGCAATCTTAAGATAGTGGGTTACTCGGACGCTAGTTTTGCTCCCTTCGGAAGCCGATCCTACGGTGCGTCCTTGATAACGGTCGAAGACTCGCCTGTCGCTTGGCGATGTGGGAAGCAAGCCTTTGTGGTGCTTTCGGTCATGGAAGCAGAGCTCTACCAAGCAACAGAAGCTGCAGCTCTTATTGAAAACGTGGCTACGCTGCTGGACGAGATTACATCAATGCGCTTGGATCGTGTTCTCCTTGTGGACAACACTTCAGCAGTTTCAATGGCTCAGGGAGGGCCTGGAAGTTGGCGAACAAGACACCTCAAGGTGAGATCTGAATACCTGCTGGAACGTGTCAAGGAGAATCTGCTCATGGTTTCCCACGTCGATGGCCAGAAGCAGAAGGCGGACCTATCTACAAAGGCTCATTCGAAGGCCAGGCTGTATACGTTGCTCAAGATGTGGAGGTTTGAGAATCTCCCGACTGAAGCAGAGGTGCTGATTGTGGCGCGCATGGCAGCTACTTTGTGTCTAATCCAAGCCTTAAAAAACTTCCCAGGTGCCCAAGGGATTTCGGTTGAGGAGTTGGGCAGTGTGAGTTTGGCTGGATGGGATGAGCTTTTCATTTTCACTTTGGCTACCTGTCTTGTTGCAGTGCTGGTGTGGGAGCTTGTGAAATATCTTGGGCGATGCCTTTGGAGCTTCCTGTGCAAGCCATCCAAGGGAAGGCGTGCGAAGAAACTTCGAGCAATGGCAAGAGTCGCGGCAGAAGCTGAGGTGGATCGAGCGTTATCACCTACGGTTGATGACGAACCACCTCCGAGAGCTTTTGCTGGACCTGCAAGCACTAACTGGTTTCCTTCTTCATTGCGTGTGGAGAGACGGTCGATTGCGACCCAAACCCCAGACTGGGAGACGACGACGCCACCAGTGATTCTCACTCCCCCGCCGGTTCATGTGGCTTCTACGATTCAGGATGCCAGGGAGTACATTCACTGTGATGGACCCTTCTTCAGGTCTGAGCATGGAGATACAATCCATACATCGAGCTCATGCCAAGGCTTCCGCTTGGCATCTCACAGTATTCTGCAATACAGGTTGTGTAACTTCTGTAGCAGACGTGACCCGCTGTATAAGATGAGGGAGCGTACATTTGGGTCAACAAGAAGGGCTTTGAGGTTTTCCGGCACCGGTTGACTGGAACGAGTCCGACGCCTACGCCCAAGTGAGGTTTGGGTATCTATGCAGTTTGCATGCAGCAGGGCTGTGGAGCAGCTTTGCAGCACCAGATCTTAAAGATCTACGCTTCCGCACTGGTGACATCCTCCTGAAGCGGAGGTGTCAAGGAGGAGTGTGGATTCCTTGAAGGTTTGAGTGATGCCTTTGAACGTGTTGCTTAAGCTCAAGTGAGATGGTTCTCGCATGTACTGACGCATGAAGCATCTAGACAATCGTCAGCATGTAAAGAAGCTGAACATACAGAGTTGATTGTCTCTGATCGCGGAAAATAAGCCTTGCTGTGCGATGGAACCCGTCCTTTAGTCCCTCTGGACCTCTCGTGAAGAACCCCGGCAAGCACTCCGCTGTCTTTTGTTATTCACATAATGCTATTGTGATGTGCGCTGAGGGCTGCCAATGTCAGTGGTCGCCAGCATTGCAAACCCCAAGCCCGAACAGCTTACCTGCTGCTGGGGCGCCTGGACAACCACGTCACTGTCTGCATCTTCAGGTGCTTCGGCAGCGACCAGGCTTGTCTAGAAAGCAAAAGAAAATCAGATAAATTCAGAAACTGATTATTTTTTGGGATTCTTACTAGCGTGATATGACTATGATTGTTAGTATAACGTGGGCAGGCAATCAAACGCAGCTGTGTCTGACAATCTGACCAGAACTGACGCGCGTGCGTTTATGAAGTCAGACTCGACTGATGCATTGATGCATTTCCTGAGAGCAAGTAGTTTGGGCTCAGGCAGTACATTGCAACCTCAAGAAGTCACCACCATACGCAATAGGAAGCGGCAACACCGAAGTGACTTCGGGACGAGGCTAGATCGGTTTCATGCATAGCTTCATGATATGGTTGAAGCCAGGTTTCGCGAAACTCAAAAAAATGCGAAAATAAAACGCAACTATGCGGCACGGCGGCAAGCAAAATCGTACAAAGTCTCCATTACGTACAATGCTGAACTGATGGGACGCAAAGTAACCCCAACAACAATCCCGTTACATCCCGTCGCGGGCTTCGAGCGACCGCAGTTTACACAGGCCTCGGGCTTCATGTCAGCAGCCGCATCCCGGTGGCCTCGGTAGGGGCCATCGAGTTAAACAAACACAGCGTGAGTCATGGTCTCGAGACAATGGAGTCAGCACAACACAGGTTCAGCCATATACAAGCAATCCAGTCAGGGGTTTCGACTGTTTTGGCTTCGCTCCAAGGACAGGCCCGTGGATTGTATAGGAGGATTGTTGGTCCAGTTTGGAGGGTTGTCTGGTTGACTTGTGATATTTTCTGAACTGAACTGAACTGAACTGAACTGAATTTGTGAGCGAATCAGCTTCAGGGTGTGTCGGGGGAAAAATGTTGTTTCGAGATTTAGGCTGTGTGTGTTTTGATGCATTTCCTGAGAGCAAGCGTTTGGACCCTATGCAGTAGGAAGCGGCAACACTGAAGTGACTTCGGGACGAGGCTAGACCGGTTTCATGCATAGCTTGCAATGTCAGCAGTGCCTCGTCTTGAGGTTCTCGCTGCCCTGTTGCTTCGTCGCCAAGCTTCTGCCAGGATGGTAGGCTTTGGGCATTATCGGGGAGGAAATAACGGCTTCGAGATTTCGGTTTAGTGTCTTTGGCTTAGGGTCTTGTCTGGCCTCGAAAGCTGCGAACCTCGGCTACAATGATGTGGCCGAGGCGAGGTTTCGTGAAACTAGAAGCGCTAAAAAAATGCAGCAATAAATGATCAATGCAGCACAACGCAGGTTCAGCCATATACAAGCAATCCAGTCTGAGGTTTCGACTGCTTTGGCTTGGCTCCAAGGACAAACCCAGTGATGGCATAGGATGTCAGCTGGTGAAGTTTGGAGGTTTACCTGGCTGATTCGTGATATTTTCTGAACTGAACTGAACTGAATTTACGATGCAGAGAGGCCGGCGTTGCGGAAAGTTCAGTTTAATGATGCTGAATCTGCCAGAACTTTGGGCTTCAGGGCGTATCAGGAGGAAAAATACTGTTTCGAGATTTAGGCTGTGTCAAAGAGTTACCACCATAAGCAGTAGAAAGCGGCAACCCTGAGGTGACTTCGGGACGAGACTAGACTCTGACTAGACCGGTTCCTGCAATGTCAGTCGCACCTCGTCTTGAGAATCTCGCTGCCATGTTTCTTAATCGCCGAGCTTCTGCGAGGATGTTCAGCTTTGGGATTATCGGGGAGGAAATAACGGCTTCTCGACTTGCTGGGCAGCTGGCGAAGAAGAGCTCCTGAGGGCCGTGAAGTTGAGGTTGCCAAGGAGCAAATCATTAATCAAGCATCTGTGCGAAAACAAATCGAGGGCAGTTATAAGAATGGCAAAGAAAACCCGCTGCATGAGCGGATCTGATCTGATTTGATCTGAACTGAACCGAAGTCCCACGTCACTCTTCTGTCCCATGTGTGGCCGGATGAACGATCTCATCTGAACTGATCTTATTGAAGGGAATTGTTTGAAAACACAGCGGTCGAATCCTGTCCTCGCGGCAGGAGCCGCTGGCGCAAAGCTTCCTCTGCGCCTTCTGGAGTCGGAGACACTGGTTTGGCAGTAAACTCCGAGACGTCAGCAAGGCGAACCGCGGGGTCACGTTCCATCCAGCGCGTGAGCAGATGGTGTACGCATGTTCCATGCATGCTGAAGTAGCTGCAGGTGCAAACGATCACGTGGCCATGGAAGCGTCTTTGGAGTTTCAGCGTCATAGCCAAAGCGCCAAAACGAACCCGAAGCCGAGGGAGGCTGAGTCGACCGTCCTTGAGCAGATTCAGATCAGACGCTGCCGCACGATATGATGCGGCATCATCCGCTGTGAGCAAAGCCACAAATTTGCGGTGACAGTCGGAGTCAATGCTGAGATTGTACTGCTTCAAGGGCATGACGTAAACACGCTGAACCTCTCCCAAATGAGGAACTGCTCTGTTCAGTGTGCTCCCAGCCACGTTGTCTGGGAGATACTAAAAGAATCTCCAGACCGGAGCAAGGCAGACTTGCTCCCCAATTTCGTCCCTGCCTGGCCTCACCCAGTCTGCCGCTAAAAGCTTTTGACAAGGTACGCTGGGGTCCGTCGGCTGGAAGAGGACCCGCCGTTCATCTTGACCATCCACATGCCCGCGGTCGACCATTATGGTTCGATTGCAACTGTCCAGGCTCTTGACCATGTCAGGCAGACTGAGCAGGTGATAGCCTGCCGGCATGGTTTGCTTGATCGTCCTGTTGTAGCGTTCCAAGCTTTGCTGGCAAGTTTGTGGTCCATGGCCAGGCGGGGCATTCCACAGCCCGCTGGCCCAACCGGACGCCCAAAACTCGCCGTCGTCGCTGGCTTCCAAAATGTGCTCTTTCAGATATTTCAGCGTCTTGGCTTTGCCCTTCTGCTCGAAGTCATGGAGAGTTGTCTGCCAGCAAGCATGGAAAAGTCGAATCGTAGGCAGAGGCGCCGTAAAGAAAACGACGCTTCGGATAGCGACAGCGTCCTCCTTATCGCCATTGGGACTGCGCCCCCCAACGATCTATCGCCTCCAAGACGTGTCTCAGATCCAGGCGGTGCTTCAGAGTTGGCAGCACCTGGAGTAGATCAGATCAGATCAGATCGGATCGGATCTATATGGATACAGGGAAGAGATGAGTGTCCATGTGAATGCCATCACCCGAAAAGTCTAAAAGACTAGAAAGACAAGAACCCTGATTAAGCAAACGGCATTGAAATTCATCTGGCCGGCCTTCGCGGTCGCGTTCCTGCCGGCCGTCGCGCCGTCCATCAAGACATAGCGCACGACTGACAGCAGATCGATGCCTCTGGCCTGGTAAAAAGGCTATGAATGTGGACAAACAGGCTGACATGCCTCCCAACTCTTCTTTGGGTGCGACAGCGTAGCCCGCTACTATGAGCTCGGTAGCCGGCTAACCGTGGCTGTCATGTTTCTGGGTGAGGGAATAAATTCCGACTCCCCAGCCGGCCCTGTTCAACTTGTACGTAAAATCTGTGACCAGCGTGAGCCCCGAGCCCTGCTTGCCTGTCTTGAGAACTCGGCGGATGCAAGCGAGCATGGTGTCGCTTATGAGAACGCAAGATCCAGACGGCACCACGCAATCTCGGAGCAAAGAGAACAGAGGATCGGTGCCATTGTCAACTTTTGCAACAGTAAACTTCAGCTCGAATTTCTCCTTGGTCGAAGATGCTTGGCTCTGCTCCTGCACAGGCGTATTTTCTGATCTGATCTGATCGGATATGACCTCATCTGATCTGATCGGATCCTATTTGAACCAAGCAGTGCCAGCATTTCAACAGGAATTTGTCTATGAAAAAATTTAAGATGCCAGCTGTAACACATGTTTTTTGTTTCGACTGACACTGTCCTTGACGTACTCGATCCAAACGGACACCTGGTCGTCATCCCTGTGTGTCTTGGGCGCTTGCGAATCTATGAAGCTTCGCCTGGCCTTCTTGATCTCCTTTGTGGGCGGCATCGGCCTTGCATCCTCCTTGTCTGCTCGCAAAGTGGCGCCAGCTTTCAAAGGGCGTAGATGAGCCACGGAAGCAGCTCTGTCTTGTCGGGCTCTGTCCTCCTCTGCACCTGGCGGCGCCTCCGGATGCGCCCCCTGTTCAAGAAGCACGGCCTTGAATCCGTCGTCATTGCTGCAAGATCCAAGCGAAAGCTTTTGCCACAGCTGCGCGAACAGCCGCATTTGGCCCAGGCGTTCCCCCATGTGGCCGGTTGCCCCGGAAGGCCGTTGAGCGCGATCTTACTGACACGGATTTTCTGAGCAGCCGTTTCTTGCTTCTCTTGCACAAAGCTCTGCAAGCTATTTTTCAGCTCGTCGTTGGAGACAGCATGCAAAAACAACGCGAAGGATTTCTCAGCCTTCCATGTCCAGTCCCTCACTTTTGGCATCTTGACAGATCCCGAAGGCTTCTGAGCGGGATGAGGAAAGCAATGCCCCAGGCACAATAAATGCGCGAAGCAAGTCTCATAGCAGTTCTGTCACTCAGAAGAACCATTGCTGCGTGTGGCTTCGACTTAACGGTCATGCCAGTACATGAATATCAACATAATCGAGGCCCAATCTTTGGAAGACTACGGATGAAGTCCAAGGAAGTCCTTCTTAAATCCCTGGACGAACTCCATCCGCAATCGAATGCGACTAGATGTGGAACCGATGTGGAAATATGTTGATTAAAGCTTAGTGAACATCTAGCAAAGTTCTTGGCCAGATAACCTATCTCAAGGTGCTCGAGGCGGCGGGGACCGACCGATTTCAAACAGAGATGAAACAGCACCGTAGTCTGTACCGATCCGATCTGAACTGAACTGAACTCAACTGAAATGGACGTCACGCAAAGGCATAACCCACTGATAACACCAGGTTTGTTCGCTGAAGTTCTTTTTGCTTTGCCGCACGGGCTCTTTTTTGGCGATCCAAGAAGGCACATGACTTAAGGAAAACCAAAGAAGGACGATGCTGAACTGAGTTGGTTGGTTGCCTCACCGAAGCAGAATCGCATTCTAAGCTTCGCTACCTGAGAGAAGTCATTGAATGGCCAGAACCCCGCGCCTTCGGAAGAACGTGACGGTTAGGGGATCCTTAGGGGGTGAGGGTTTAGCGTTTAGGATATACCGATATTCAGCCACAACACTGTCACCGCGAGAGTGAGCTTGAATCGTTTAGAGGTTGGCTTCAGAGTTAGACGTTCCGCACTGGACCCGTGGAGCAACGTGCACAACCTGCGCAACAGAGGCCTCGGGCTTCACGCCGCTCTGCTGTCTTTGATCTTTGTCCTCGGTCCAAAAAAAATCCTTTCGCGCTGCTTCACTTGACACTTGAAACCACTGCCGAGGCAGAGGGAACAGAGTGAGACGTTCCGAACTGGACCCGTGCAGCAACGTGCACAACCTGCGCAACAGAGGCCTCGGGTTTCACGCCGCTCTGCTGTGTTTGATCTTTGTCCTCGGTCCAAAAAAGAAAAAATCCTTTCGCGCTGCTTGACTTGACACTTGAAATCACGATCACTGCCGAGGCTGAGGGACACGCTAATTGGCGCAGGATCTCAATCGTGGCATCGACGCCCTGGCGAAGCTTGTTCTCATCGCTATATAGTATAGAGAAAGGGTGCCTTTGCCTCGAATCCCCCAACCCTGCCTCGGGGTCGAGGCGACGTCGTCGCTTGGACGACTGCCGCAACTCCTGCGAAAGTCGTGCGTCAAGCTTTGATTTGAAGAGGCAGCTCCAGAACTTGAGCCTTCTCGCTCGGCTCTTCCGCTGCTCGAGATGCCATGGCATCGGTGGAAGAGCAGGAGTAAACACGAGCTCTACGACACCCTGCTTTCGGACTCCGCTTGCAGTCACGCCCCCGAGCCGGACACAAGTAAGCGTTGGTTGTAGTTGCTTCGAGTTTGGCAGCGTCCATGACAATTTGTTTGCTAAGTGATTAGTTTTTTCGAGTTAAGGACCTGCTGGTGTCAGTGCGAGTCTGTGGAGTGCTGATCAGATCATGTGATCTTCATGTCTCTGGGAGCCGTTTGGTGCGCGTTCCGGCGGCCTTGGTGCGCAGCTGGTTGCTTTGGTGCGCGTTTCGGGCTGGGATCGAAGCTGCCCACCTGTGAAGCGCCAGGAGTCTACAACCGAAACTCTGGGACCCCTAAGCCCCTGAAGACCCAGAGCGGTTTAGGGTTTAGGATTTACCTGTAGCCGAAAAGACCTACCTTTTTAGGGTTCCTTATTAAGGTTTCTAGACATAGTTCCTTCTGAAGGTCGGTCTTTTGGGCTACAGGTAGGGCTCAAGGGGTTTAGGGTTAGGGTTTGGGGTCTAGGGGGTTTACGGGTTTGAGGGTTTAGGGTTTAGGGGGTTTAGGGTTTAGGTGGAAGACCCAGAGACTCCAATACCCCTTACTTAAGGAACACACCTTGAATCATGTTGGGGATCCGACTATAACTTAAGGCATATTCCTTAAGCCAGGAATTTTTGAGTTTCTGGGAAGCTAAACTACTGCAAAGTCAACAGCAAGACCTACACAGCCTTTTAAAACCAACACCAAAAACCCTGCAAACTCTTGCAAAGTTGGAGAAGAAACGTACGTTCCTCAAGCCACGCGCATCACCTACGAGGCCCCAGCCAACTCCCCATCACGGCGCTGCTCTACCACCTGATCGGCCGACGGTGGTGGGGGGGCACGGTGGTTAGGCTCCTGGTGCTACCAAGCCGATTTGGGCTTCTGGCTCTTAGGGGTGTAGGGCCTTAGGATTTTGGAGTTTAGGGCTTAGGGCATTTAGGACTTAGGCTCTAGGATTTAGGCGATGAAGGCTATGAGGGCAATCAGGGCTCAGAGCTTGAATCTGCATGGCTTCTTCGCCAGATTTCTGCGTGCTGGATGTTGGATCTAGGGTTTAGGGTTTAGGGTTTAGGGTTTAGGGTGACAGTCTTCAGGGCCCTGACGGAGGCTTCTCAACGATGCTCGGGAGGGTTCAGTGCAAAGGTCGTGGCCGGTTGAGGGCAGTACAGACCTGACACCTGGAGCCTAAACCCTACCTGTGGCCCAAAAGACCTACCTTTTTAAGGAACTATATATGGAGACCATAACAAGCAACCCTAAAAAGGTGGTTCTTTTCGGCTACCGGTAGACCCTAACCCAAACCGATGATCCCGAAAGGGACAGGTACTGGCAATGGCCTGTGCAACGCCATCCTCATTCTCCAGCGGCCCAAAATGGACTTGCCAGTCCCGCTTTTCTACCTAAGTTAGGCAGCTCAAGGGCTCAGGTTTGTATTTAGGGCTTAGGGTTCTTTTTGTTGAGGACCGTTTTCCAGCTCAGGGTTTAGGTGTTAGGGGTCATGGGAAATCTTGGGGTGTAGGTTATTTGTAGAGGTCGGGTTTAGGGTTTAGGGGTTCAGGGTTTAGGATTCCGATTCCCTTACAGTCGCCCAATACTTAGCGAGCCAGAAACCCTGGTCCAATTACTGATGCTCCTATCCTGGGGCGCCGAAACTGTTAAGAACATCGATGGATCCACCGTCATGACGTGCCGAGATACGAAGAAGTAGCTGCCGTCTTCACCTCGGCAAACATGGAACAATCGAAACGAAGCTCCCATGTGGAGGTCTGTCTATTTGAGACTGTATTCCCACAGAGGCCTCAGCTGGAAGTCTGATCTTATAAATCGGCCTGAAAGTAAGAGACTAGAGTGTTGAGGGTTTGATAGTCTATGTAGATACAAACAAGAACCTTAATTAGGGTTTAGTAATGACTCAGGCCCCCCTATTGGAACAACCCTATCTGCTGTCTTTGTCGAGTTGCTAGTCTCGCTGACATTGAAGCCGACCCTCGGCGGCACCGGGCATCGGAGCGCTGAGCGACTCTACTGCACTTGGGGTTTCGGGTCCGACACGGAGGGAGCAGGGTTTAGGGGTTTAGGGTTTAGGGACAGAGAGAGACAGAGAGAGCGAGAGAGAGAGAGAGAGAGAGAGAGAAATGGACAAAGAGAGGGAATGCGAAACCCTAAACCCGAAACTCAAAGTCTGCTGCAAAAGGGGGCACCACTGCAGAGTCTACTTTGATCGAGGCCAACAAACGCCTCATGAGTCGGTGATGCCAAGCCGCTCCTGTGTGGCAACATCCTTTCCTCCCAGGATCAAGGTTTAGGGTGGCTTCAGGGCTTCGTGTGCACTGTCACTTGGAGGTTGGGGGTGCTGACAATCGAATTATCACTGTGCCTAGAACCTCGTCACAAGTCCCCGGCGCTGGTTATCTAAGCTATACCTGCGCTACGAGCACGCATATATATATATATATATATATATACATGTGATGAGGAACCCTCAAGAACACATCGGTGGTTCTTGAGGCCTTCCTCAAGTTTTGGAGGTATTGCTTTGGGGTGTAGGGCTCCTGAAAGTCTTAGGACTTCAGGCGTGGATGACCTGTGTGGCCCGGGGCGTTGGAGTTTAGAGCTAAACCCTAAACCCTAAACCCAAACCCTAAACCCTAAACCACTAAACCCTAAACCCTAAACCTTTAGAGTAAACTCTAAACCCTAAACCCCCAAACCCTAAACCCTAAACCTTTAGAGCTAAACTCTAAACCCTAAACCCTAAAAGTTCGGGCGTTGAGGTCGGCTTTAGGGTCCCTACAACCTACAAGGGTTCCTTTAAAGGGTTCCTATTCGGGCTCCTTGTAAGGTATCCTATAAGGGATCTTGCGGGCTATGGGCTTGAGGCTTTACAAGTAGGGGTTGGATGCTTTAGGGTTTACGGTTTAGGGTTTAAGGTTCCCGCAAGCCCTTAACTCTTGCAGGTGGCTTCTGGATCCATCTAAGTATCCGAACACAAGCCTAAACACAAAACAGCGGCCTTAGTAATTAGACTAGCGTTTGTGCGTATGTTATACTATATCTATATTAAGGAACACCGAAAATAGTATCGGTAATTTTTAAGCATTGTATATTAGATCACTGGGATGCTGGAGCCTGGTGCTTCTGCAAGGAGGCCGAGGTCTCGCACCACACCTCAGTGGGTGGTTTAGAGTTTAGGAGTGCGCGGGGTTCAGGGTTGAGGGCTTGAGGGCTTTAGGGTTTAGGGCTTTATGGTTTTAGTTTTAGGTTTACAGGCCTTTGGAGTTTAGGGTAGAGGACTTTAGGGCTTGAGGGGCTTTCTGTTCTTAGGGCTTAGGGCTGTAGGGTTTTTCGAGGTTGAGACTTTAGGGTTTAGGGCTTTAGGCTTTCAGGGCTTTTGGGCTTAGGGCTTTAATTTAACGTTTTGGGTTTTAAGGTATTGGGTTTAGGGCCTTCATTTAAGGTTTCGGGTTTTAAGGTAGTGGGTTTAGGGCTTTAGTTTAGGGTTTTGGGTTTTAAGGTATTGGGTTTAGGGCCTTCATTTAAGGTTTTGGGTTTTAAGGTAGTGGGTTTAGGGCTTTAATTTAAGGTTTTGGGTTTTAAGGTATTGGGTTTAGGGCCTTCATTTAAGGTTTTGGGGTTTAAGATATTGGGTTTAGGGGCTTTAATTTAAGGTGTTGGGTTTTAAGATATTGGGTTTAGGGCTTTAATTTAAGGTTTTGGGTGTTAAGGTATTGGGTTTAGGGCTTAGGTTGTATTCTATGGAAGCCGGAATGATTACTGGCAGATAGTGCTGCGCTCCATAAGCCGGGGCGACTACACGGGCTCGAATATGCAAGGCCCTTTCTTGGAGGCCCAGGGGGTTTAGTAAGTAGGTTGTAAGTAGGGCTATAATTGGGGTAACTCCATTTAGGGTACTTATGACCCTACTTATAACCTACTTACTAAGTGCCCTGCCCCTCCAAGTACCATTTTCAACGGGGTATACAAGCTCAAAGCCCTACTTAGAGGCCCAGGGGACTTAGTAAGTAGATTATAAGTAGGGTTCTAATAGGCTTTAAGTACCCTAAATGGAGTTACTCCAACTGTAACCCTACTTATAACCTACTTACTAAGTCGGCCTCTAAGTAGGATGCCAAGGCCAAGATGCTGTAGACGGCTCCACGCTGCCAGCCTGCAAGACAAACTTCACTGGCACGAAGGACTCGAAGCATGAGCCGAAGTCTTTACATGCATTATACAGTTTCTGTATGTGTGTATATATATACATATACATACTTATGTATGCAAACAAACACGACAGTTATGACGCAAAAAGCTAATGATATAAGACCAAAATACATGACTGGGTCTGTCCAAAAAAACCCACGTCCTAAGCCACAAAATCCCCCGAAGCCAAATCCCCTGAAGCCGTAACCAAGCAACTCTAATGTAAGGGCCTTAATACTTAGAGTAGGGTTTTCGGGGGGGGCTCCTCATTATAACTATTGTATAATATGCCCCAAAACCCGACTCTAATTGATAAGCCAGCACCGTTCACACAAAAACCCCAAACCCTTCTGGCAACCCTTGTACAACCCTTTTGAGGAACACCTTAGAAAGGAAGGGGCCCTACTTTAAGCAACAAGGCCGCCACATTTAAACCCCGTATCTGTTCCGTATCTCGGCCCCCTGGCAGCCCCTTCATAACAAGAGTACGTACCGGTTTTCATACTGAAGGGAATCGAAAAAGGAAAGGTACGACCGGGGAAATTACCTGTACTATTTTGTTCTGTTTATTTCAATATAGTGAAATGGGCCCTATTCTAATTACTAAGGCCCCTATATCGGTTATAGAACCCCCGACATGGATGGGGTCTCCTGAACCTACGGAAGCGGGATAAAAGTGTATAGGATTGAGGATCCCTTGCTTCTTGAACCCACTTTGGGGGAGCTCACTCAGCATGTGTATATGTACACAAAAATGAAAACTTAAATGACTATATACATAAATATATACACACACATGTATGAGCCTTTTTGTTACTTTTGCAATATATGAGCATGGTTTGTTGCAGGAGAACTTGAGGTTATTCTACTTCTATACGGATGCATATCCCTCAAACCCTGTCATCCCTTAGAAGGCGCCCCCACCCTGTAATAGTGGTATAATAGGAACATAATAGGGCCCCAATAAAATCCTTATAGTCACTAGTAGAGGGTGGGGGCAGCTTCTATGTCAACCCCTAACATGGCCACAGGAGGCCTCCAAGTGCGACAGAGCCTTCCAAGAGAGGCCACCTGCAGCAGAATCTGCCAGAAAAAAGCGTTTTTTTTGGTTAGGGTTTAGGGTTTAGGGTTTAGGGTTTGGGGTTTAGGGTTTAGGGTTTAGGGTTTAGGGTTTAGGGTTTAGGGTTTAGGGTTTAGGGTTGGGTTAGGGTTTGACGTTACAGTTGGGGGCGTTTCAGGTTGATTTGAAGTTGCATGAGGTTTCGTGCTTGGAACAGCACAGCTGCACATGTTCAAGCATGTTCATGACCCCACACAAGCCCTACACAACCCTGATAGCACCCTACAGAACATCCTACTTCAACTAAACCCTAAATCCTAAACCCTAAATCCTGCAATTGCCCTAAACCTGTAAATCCTAAACACTCAAAAATAAATCCTATACCCTAAATCCTAAAATCCTAAACCTTAAACCCTACGAGTCCGAGCAGGTCCATCCAGCGTCATAGCGAGGAGCCAGTATACCTACGCACTTGTGACACAGGAACAATAAATGTACATACATACCATACACCCTAAAGCCTAAAACCCTAAACCCCTAAACCCTAAACCCCAAACCCTAAACCCCTAAACCCTAAACCCCAAACCCTAAACCCCAAATCCTAAACCCCAAATCCTAACCCCTAAACCCTGAACCCTCAACCCTCAACCCTATACCCTAACCCCTAAACCCTAAACCCCAAATCCCTAAACCCCTAAACCCCTAAACCGATCATGGGCCAGGGAGCCAGTATGGACCCGAGCAGAGCCCGTTGCTCCCTCCGTTCAGCTTCTTGGCGCCTCGGGGGCTCTCGGGCGGATCTTCTTGGTAAGGGGTTTAGGGTTTAGGGTTTAGGGGTTTAGGGTTTAGGGGTTTAGGGTTTAGGGTTTAGGGTTTAGGGTTTAGGGTTTAGAGTTTAGGGTTTAGGGTTTCTTGGGAAGGGGTTTCAGACGGGTTCCTTTAAAGGGATCTATATATCAGTTCCTTTAAAGGGATCTTCTTGGTAAGGGGAACTCCAGAAAGTTGGAATATGGATTCAGGGTAGGATACCCTATAATTTACCTTAAAGGGGTTACGATAATCATATTCCAACTTTCTGGCTTCTACTGTAAGGGGTTTTAAAGGGATCTAGAAGGGTTTAGGGTTTCAGACGGTTTGGGGTTTAGGGTTTAGGGTTTACGGTTTAGGGTTTTAGGGGTTTAGGGTTTAGGGGATGTTCCTTTACAGGGATCTATCTCTATAGGGATCTAGAAGGGTTCCTTTAAAGGGATCTATAAGGGTTCCTGTAGTTCTTCTATCTATACGAGATCTAATGTGGGGATTTTTAAAAACTAGGAGAAGGTTTTCGGACATGCTATACTGTAACTATACTATACTGAACTTAGAACCTGAGCAAAAATTACTATTTTAACTGTTTCTTAGGGATTATCGGATTATAATGAGCGAAAATAGAAATTATTTCTAAGTACCCCTAAGTATAGTAAAGGAACTCTCAGACTCTAAGAACAGTATTGGTAAGTATGTAAGCCCCTGGTACATTCCTTTAGAGGGATCTAGAAGGGTTCCTTTATATAGTTCCTGTAAAGGGATTTAAAAGGGAAGTGGGGGAGGTAGCTTTTGGGCTTTAGGGGCGTCAAGAGTTTAGGGTCTTTCGGCTGTGTGACGGTGTGCTGTAGGATTCTGGAAATTTGCCGGCTTGCTCCTTGAACCTGTTGTTTCACTATTCGGGGTTTACAGACGTCGAGCTTAGGGTATGGGTTTGTGTGGTGACCAATAGTAGAGCCTGGCGTCTACGCGGGTCGCCATAGCAGTTTTCGTGCTCGAGCTTCATGGTCTCCGGAAAGAGCTGGTTGGTGCACCAAAACCTGCACTTGAAGCACCAGGGGACGGTCACACAAAGTTTACGGGCCTTAATGCATAGATTAGCGTTTTGCGGTATGTCATACTAGTTCTACAAGAAGGACCTCCACGGAATCCCTACGTTAAGTTTCAGACAGCGTTATAAGCACCGTCCGAATTACAACCGTACTTATGGTGTGCTTACAGAATCGCTTATCCTAAACCCTTACAAAGCTGTATAACACTCTCTATAAACCCTATACAAGGCCCTCTAAAAAAACCTATATTAGAGTACTTGCCAAGTCCTCTGAGATTTCAGGCAGATGCCGCTTTAAAGCAGCCGGAAGATCCCAAAACGTGCTGTTCTAATTCACGGATCATAGACTACCTATAGTATCCATTGTAGTTCCTTTTTGGGGTTTCCTTTTCGGATCCTTAATATAAGATTGGTTAAACCAGCAAAAGAAACTACAATGGAGACTATAGGTAGTGTGTCACACCCTTTAGTTTTCCGGGTTTGGGCGTGCAGGTAGTTCATTAGTTGATTAGGAATAGTATTAATACTTACACGTACCAGTGGCGACGATGCTATTGCTAACATCACTCCTATTAATCTGAGCATTACTGGCAGTAGCCGTATTGTTATCATTGTGATGGTTATGATACTCACCATGAGCGCCAGTCTGAGTATTATTATGACAATTATTGTTACTATGGTTGTTATTATGATTACTATTAGTCTGACTATGGTGATAAGTACGTTTAGAGCTGTTAGTACGAGATGACGACGATTATCAGTCATAGTGATGTTGGTCATGATGATGGCTTATTCTTAATTATTTTTTGGTGGCTTCTACTGTGGTTATGTTGGAATGTAAGCCACTCCCAGCTTTTCCACCAGGGAGCACTGCCCTCGCTTCCGATGGGCACTCCAGGACCACATATCTGGGAGGCACGGACAGGGCTTAGAGTTTCGGGCTTAGGGGTTTAGAGGTTTCGGGATTCAGGGGTTTAGGGTTTAGGGTTTTTTTAACCTACAGTGGCGGCCTTTCTCCCTGCAAGCAGCCTAGGGTTTAGGATTCAGGGTTTATCGATGACCCCACGTGTTTCCCATGAATTGAAGTGCGTCCTACTGGGAAATTGCTCCCGCTTTCAGCGGAGGTAATAGTTCAGATAGATTTGGTGCCGTGACTTGCTGCTGAACCCGGCTCAAAGTTGCTGCACTCTCTGCAACGACTACTGGCAGCTCGCTTCTCCCCCCATTCTTGCCAGCCAAAGCACCTGAACATACCTTGGTTCGCTTGGTCTCGCACAAGAACAGTGCACCAATCAACTTGACCTAGTTGTCTCCTAGGCAGAGAAGTCCTGCAAATTTCACTGTCCGAGACACTGCATTTGAACATGACGTCGTCGAGCGATGATGCCCAGTGCTTCTTGCGAAAGCCATAATTTTCGCGGTCCCGCGTGTCCTTGGCAGGGAAGGCCGGAGAATGGCAATCACTGGAATGGTTCTGGAGGGATGAAGGCTGTAGGGTTTACCTGTACCCCGCAAGCCATACAAAATAGTAGTTTTATGACCCCTCCAGTATTTCAGAAGTATAACCCTAAACCCTAAACCCTTAAACCCTGAAGACCCTTAAGACCCTAAAAAAACAGGTGTAGGGACACTGCCAGCAGCTGAGAGTCGTAGCAGCCGAGGTAGTTTGCAACCTGGCAGGTCGGCCGAACTTGCTGGGTTCTTCGGTTGGGTTTAGGGTTTAGGGTCTTGTTTAGTGATTAAATTTAAGGCACCATAATGGGGAAACCATATTATATACCACAGCTCCCTAAAGTCGTACATTAAAATAACTTCCTTAACAAGAACTCCGCATTTTGCTCCGTCCCTGTTGCTGATTCTGGCTGAGTTCATTCAGTGGGCGCATCATAGAGATAACATCGAAGTAGGTAGGGGTAGACCAAACTTTACAATCACATACTATTCTATGCAGGTAACCTGCATCAAAGAGGCACGAGAAAACAATACAGCTACGACTCAGACATTTTCCAGAAGAGGTTTTTCGCAGACAAGCGCTGACCTCCAACAGCTTTTATTGAGAGACGTATCGCTTCAAGACACCTGTTCTCGACATGCCTGTCAGTTCATAAAGAATGGCTGCAGCCCATCCCCCCATATCCCTTACTAAAGCCGCTAAACCCTAAAGCGTAAACCCTACACGCTAAGCCGTCTAAAGCCGAAGTTCTAAACCCCTACAGCCTGAACTCTGCCTACAACACCTTGAGCAAGAGTCCCATGGCAAGGCATTCCCAAAGAACGCACAGCTTACAAACTTCTCCCTTGCGTGTCAAGTTGCAAGGGGCTTCGGCTCCTGTGCAGCCCCAAGGGCTGCGAGAAGTGTCAGCAGCCTCCAGGCAACGGGGGGCGGGAGCTCAGAACCTTTCCCTTGCTACTATACTGAACTTAGAACCCTAGCCAAAATTACAGTTTTAGCTGTTTCTTAGGGGTTATAATAACCAAAAATTACAAAATATTTCTAAGTACCCCTAAGGCAAAAGTTACCGAGTTTAGGATAAAGGATGTAGGGCATGAGAACTTTAGGGCTCTATAGGTGTTCTCTAACGACTTACTACAAAGGTCACTGTACGGGCTCCGTTAGGGTTTATACAAGGGATACTATATTTGCAAGGGTTTCAATGCTACCAGGATTGCTAGAAAAGTTCTGTCGGATATGAAACGGGTCCCTCTATCAGTCAGTTAGTGCCTAGACCTAAGATAACCTAGGAATCCAAAGGGTGCCCTTTTTGGATTTAAAGGGGCCTCTAAGGGAACCTGAACCCTAAGAAAAGGGAATAGGAGCCTACGCTAGGTCTGAGGTAATCATTCAGTCAGTCAGCCAGGCAGTCAGTCAGTCAGGCAGGCAGGCAGTCAGTCATACGCTGCGCGGCATGGACAGGTATGGGGTTACAAAATGGCTACTTAAGAGCTACATACGGGGTCTATATGGCTCTATCCGCGCAACCAGACGAGACACTATAATCGGGTTACTAATCCCAAAATCCCTAACTACAAAACCGGGAATGAGCGCACGACTCTCTTACTTGCAGGTGCATGAAGGCTACTCATTTGCGCCCCAAACCCTATACTTTAAACCGATTTCCTGACTTGAAGTCCTGCTTGAAAGAAGTCTTACCCGCCTGAAGCAAGAGAAAAGCACTAAAGACCGCCTCGGCCACGCTGCGTTCATCCTAGTGGACAGGAACTCTCGTGGTTTCAGGTGTTGCAACAGGTCTTTGGGCTGGGGGGTTTGGAGTTGAAGGTTCTAGAAGGATACTGGGAGAGCTTCTATAAGGGTTCGACAAGGTTACTCTAAGAGATAGCAGTAAGGGTTCTATGCATTGAGCGGCATCCCCTTTGAACTTGTCCAAGGCCGGTCCTATCGTCGCTGGCAGAGCACAGCCGCTTCAACCATGTAGGCAGGATGCGATGAGAGGGAACCCCTGTGACTGTAGACACGAGCCAAGCGTCAATCTAGGATCGAGGTGGCTTGCTGTCAGTGCTTGGTACTAACATCATCGATACTGCTGTTGTTATTGTTGTGACTGCTTCTACAGCTATTGGCATTACAAGTAATGTTGACTTACTGCTGCTGCTGTCACGGTATGGGGTGTGCTCAGAGCATCTGTAGAAAATGGACCTTGTCTTCCCCAGGGGCCCTCCTTCCACCAGGGGCTTCAAGCCTCCCCGATGGGCAGATGTGGACGTAGATCTATCAGGCTAGCAGGTAACCTGTGAGGACACGCAGCTTCCGCGTGCGATCCTCCCTGAGCCCAAAAAGCACCACAGCATTCACACTCCACTTTGCAGCCCAATACTGCGGGCCTTCAAATGCGCACTTCTCCAGCTACCCCTCCAGCGATGAGCCATAGATCCTAAACTCTGTTCCACATAAACTCTAAGCACGCAATCCCAACGCAACCCTAAGCCCTAAACCCTAAACCCTAAACCCGAAGCCCTAAGCCCTAAACCCTGAGCCCTTAACCCCTGATGCCATGAAGTCTCTGGGCCCAAAGGCAACGAGCCTTCCGAACTGTGGCTGTGGCACACCGGGCCACGGCCTGAGCTCGGCTTTCTTGTGGTCTTGTATGGCTTACTTGGAGGCCCAGAAAAACTTAGTAAGTAGGTTATAAGTAGGGTTATAATTGGGGTATCTCCAATTAGGGTATTTCTACCCCTACTTATAACCTGCTTACTAAGTCCCCTGGGCCTCCAAGTAGCTAAACCCCAAATTACCAAACCCTAAACCCGAAACCCTAAACCCTAGACTCGTAGTGTGTTGGGGTAAGTCTTAGTAGAGATTTACAAGCAGTATAAGGGACCCTAGCCCTAGCCCCTTAAGCCGTGAAAAGGAAGCCTCGAAAACCCTACACACTGAACGTAGGTTTGGGGGTTTAGGAAACTTGATGGTAAGGATCTCCAAAAAGATGTGGAGGGACGTGAAACATTATGGGTCTTAGGCTGGTAGATAGCCCTGGGCTGGGAGGGAGCAGCCTGACCCTAGTGCAAAAACCACCCTCAAAGCAGATACTAAATTCAGGTGAAACCCCAGAAATATATGTGTACATATATATGTATACACACATACGTACAGATGTGTACGATCAAAACCCTGTAGAGCCTATATACCGATTGTGTGTGTGTGTATATATATATATATATACGGAGAGAGAGAGAGAGAGATACGTGAATATGTAAACATATGCGCACACACACACACACACGTATTCGTTGTATAATGCCTTGATAAAGATCAATCTTCGGACCCTGTTTGCTGCAAGGCTGCATCCGGCTCATCCAAGATGGTTCCACCTGGACTGCCCAAAGAGCCCCAAGGGGCCCTCAATTAAGGAATACACCTTTAAACCATGGGGAAGCCCAAACTTAGACCCCAAACCCGAAACCTAGACCATATGAACCCTGTATCTGAAGTTTTGGGGGCTTAATACAAGAGGCTTAGGGTTTCGGGCTTTGGATGTTGAGGTCGGGTTTCGGGCTTTGGGCTTTGGGATTGAGGGTTTAGGAAGCTTAGGGCTGCTTAGGGTGCAGGGGCAGGTTGGGTAGGGTTTCGGTTGCTTTGGTTGGATTCAGGGCTTCGAGTGCAGTATATGATCCAGCTGACGTTTAGATCTAACTCAAGGTTTCGGATCTGTGACTAGGCGTTCAGGGCGGTTTAGGGCTCAAAGTTAGGCTCAGACAGATGCATGACTGGTGTTTAAGATTAGGTATGGGGTTTAAGGCTCGCTCGGTTGAAAAGTAAGTCAGGGGTTCGCTTGTTCAAGGGTTTAGTGTTCAGGGTTTTTAGTGTTCAGTGTACCCATATTGGGGCCGTGTACTACGAAGTACTACTAAGGGTACTTTGTAGGAACCCCCATTAAGGGATCTACTTTTTGGATCCTCCCCGGGGTCTGGGTAGGCATTTTCGCCTGCTAACCTGGGCTCAGACTCAAAGCTTCCGGAGTGAAATGAAGGGAATCGAGACCCTGAAGCCCGGAAACACCTAATAGAGGGGCCTTCATGGTTGCGTTAGGGGGTTCCTTTTGAAGGGAATCCTTAAAAAGCTACCAACCGGGTTCCGTAACGAAGGGGCCTTAATAATAAGAATAGAGTTTCGGGGCATGCTGTATGATAAGTATACTACGAAACAAATACTACGGGTAACTACTAAGGCCCCCTATATTGAATCCCAAACTCGCAAGAAGCTAGCCCGTAAACTCACAACGTGCAACTCCTGGTCACTAAGCCTAGACCCCGAAACCGTAAAGATCTCCCACCGCAAAATCCATAAAACCCAAAGGGACCCTAAACCGCTACAACCCTAAAGCCCCAAATCCTGCTAGATCACTTCACAGAACCCTGAACTAAACTGAATTAGAACCCTAGCAAAAATTAGAGTTTTAGCTGTTTCTTAGGGATTATAGTAACCAAAAATTAAAAATTATTTCCAAGTACGCCCAAGTGAAAGGAACCCTTCTATGGTAAATTATAGGGTATCCTACCATGAAACCAAAATCCAACTTTCTGGAGTTCCCTGTAACAGAACCCTGAAAGGAACCCTCAAACCCGGCTTCTTAGGTCCGGACTGCACTCCCTCGCAGGAACGAGTCCACCCTGGTGTTCCGGATTCATATGGGCGTTTCCGAAAATAGGGGAACCTTAGGGTTCCTTTAAAGGGATACTGTAAGGGTTCCTCTAAAGGGATCTATAAGGGGTTTACAGGGTTCAGGGGTTTAGGGGTTTAGGGTTATGGGAGTTTCCGAAAATAGGGGTACCTTATTTGGGGTCCTCATAATATGGATCCTACTATTTAGGGTACCATATTAGGGTCCCCTATTTTCGGAAACTCCCACAGGGGCATTTGGGGCTACGGGTTTCGGGCTTTCGGGTCTTAGGATTTAGGGCTTAACGTTTTGGGTTTAGGGCTTTTGGCGTTTGGGGGGTTCGGAGCTTAATGGTCTGAGGGTTTCAGGCTCTAGGGTTTGGACTATACGGCTCTGAGGCCTTTAGGGCTTAGGTTCCTTGAGTTCAGAGTTTACAGTCTAGTGTTTGGGTTTCGCTTCATAGGATGCTCACAGAGTGACGGGGTTGATACAGGACCTTTGTTGCCAGACTAGGTTTGTTATGCTATGTTATAAGGGGCACGTATGATGCCTAATTGCTCAGACCCGTGCATAAAACTCATTATCTAAACCTTAAGAGAAGCCTGGCCAAAAAAAGCTCCAAAGCTCGCGTCTGTTTTTAATTAAAAACAGTTTTCAATTAAAAACAGGTGCAACAAAAGTCATCTGAGAGAGATTGCTACAAGAGAAATGCTGGTCCGAGCCCCTGTCCGATCCTGCCCGAATCCCAAACCCCTCGTCCCAACGTCAAAGGCTAACCTGAGGTGTACCTGAACCTACCAAAACCTACCTTTTTGTAGGGTCCCTATAAATTCCAATACTAGGGTTGATAATAAGAACCTACAAAAAAGTAGGGTTTAGTAGTTTAAGGTAGGGCTTGGGGTATAGAATTTAGGGTCGAGGGTTCAGGATTTGGTGTATGCTTTGGGGTTTAGGGTTTGGCACATTAAGGGCGGTTTCGTGGTAGGGTCCGGGGCTTGTCGTTTGGAACCTTCAGGGATTATTTCTCGGGCTTGCGAGCTGCTAAGGTTTAGGGCTCAGGGTCCAGGGTCTAGGGTCTAAGGTTTGAGGTTTAGGATTTAGGGTTTAAGGCTTAGGGTTCAGGTGTTTAGGGGTTTAGGGATCAGGGTTTTAAGGTAAGGCTTAAGGCTGAGAGTGCTTGTCTCCCTTCGTCCCGAAGAAAGGCCTCGACGTCGCCCTCCAGTGACTGGATGAGGGTCCCTTCGGTGCCCGTAGTCACTTCCTGCTCGACTCGGGGCTTAGGGCTATGGGTTTAGCGGTTTAAGGGGATTAGGGGGTTTTGGGGGCTTAGGCGTTTAGGGGCTTGGGGTTTAAGGCTTCAGGGTTTGAGGTGTCGGTGCTTAGGGTTTATTTGGGGTGTCGTTTGCGTCTCTGTGCTTTTGACTGTCATTCCTATGCTCCGTACCATCCCAGACCTTCCAAAACCCCTTAATTAAGGAATAGACCTTAAATCATATTAGGGACCCTACTATAATTTAAGGTATATTCCTTACTTAAGGGGTTTTGGAAGGTCTGGGAGCAGCAGTCAGTAGCAGAATGCGTGATGTGATTCAGATTATAGCTCTTCGCATTAGGGGTTTAGGGTTTAGGGTTTAGGCCCTACCATAGTGTTGTGAGTACACAGCTGGCATCATGATGGCTCGTGTTCCACCGATTCTAAAGCTGAACTTAGAACCCTAGCAGAAATTACTACTTTAGCTGTTTCTTAGGGATAGGATTCATTAAACCTTTTGGGTTTTTAAAAAAACCTAGGGCTTGTTTTAGAAATAAAAAATAAAGCCTAAACCTTGTTTTTGAAAAAACCTATGGCTTTTTAAAGAACCGGCACCTCGAAACAGCCCAGGGTCTCGTACTCGAGGATGGGCACCTCAGCATGCGGGGCATTCCTTTCCGGCGGGGTTTAGGGTCGAGGGTTTGGGGCCCTTCAGGGTTTAGGGTTTAAGGGTTTAGGGTTTAGGGGTTTAGGGTTTAGGGTTTAAGGGTTTAGGGTTTAAGGGTTTAAGGGTTTAGGGTTTAGGGGTTTAGGGTTTAGGGTTTAGGGTTTAAGGGCTTAGGGTTTAGAGTCGAAGGTTTAGGGCCCTTGAGGGTTTAGGGTTTAAGGGTTTAGGGTTTAGGGGTTTAGGGTTTAGGGTTTTAGGGTTTGGGGTTGAAGGGTTTAGGGGTTTAGGGGTTTAGGGCCCTTCAGGGTTTAGGGTCTAGAGCCATTTTGACGGCGTTTAGGACTTTAAACGGCTTTCGGGTTTAGAGTTTGAGCGGCTTTCGGGATTAGGGTTTAAGGCGCCTTTTGCGGCAGTTAATGCTTCAGGGGTTTGGTGTGTTGCAATCCGGGTAGTTTTTTTGGCCTGCAGAGGTGTTGGGGGTTAGGGCTTGTGATTTAACATCTAACCACTCGAAAAACCATAAACCCCAAACCCTAATCCCCCAACCCGAACGCCTAAACCCTAGCCCTGAACTTCTCTAATATCCAAAAACCCCTAAATGCCAACCAATAGCACAAGAACTCCTCTCTACCTAGACCCCCCAACGACCCTTTAATACTGCTGGTGGAATAAATCCTGCATTACCTTAAGGACCCTACACTATGGGAATTACGGTAAATTCCTTTCTATGGGTACTGCAGGATTTATACCATCAACCGTATACCCCAAAATACCCACTATTCGGGACCATAAGGCTTCTATCCAAGGGCCCTTTTGGGGCGGGTCCTCTCTAAGCCCAGGACCATGATAATGCGGTGGTTCACGGTGTCAGAGACGAAGACTGTGGAGTGATGGACAGCAATTCCTGGCTTTTTCGGGTTCAGGGGCTTACGGTTTAGGGGTTTAGGGTTTAGGGGCTTAGGGTTTAGGGGCTTAGGGTTTAGGGTTTAGAGGGGAAGCCCAGGTTTGGAGGTTTTTAAGGGTTTGCAAGGGGTCTATCAGGGCTACATGGAGGTTCTATGAGAGTTTCTATGCCTATGATTCATGGTTTATGGGTCATCTCCATCGGGTTTAGGGTTTAGGGTTTAGGGTTTAGGGTTTAGATGTCACATTCTGGCAACAAGGAGCTTTCCTGCCTTCTGGATCGTCCATAGCAATGTTCGTCTTGGACGGGTTTTGCCGGAATCCTCGGACACGTCGTCCGACGGATGATGGCTTCCGAACATCTGAGGCTTCAGGGTTTGCAGTTGAATGGTTAGGGTATGAAAAAATGGCACCGCTCAGCAATTAAGCCCCGCACCTGACGTACCGGTGCCGATCACTGATTGTACAGCTCCCTGCGCCGCTCAAACATCAGACATGATGCAGATTGGGCGGTGCGAGAGGGGCATGACTTAGAAGCTGCCCCCACCCTTTAATAGTGACTATAAGGATTATATTAGGGCCCTATTCTATTCCTATTATATCCCTATTATACCACTATTACAGGGTGGGGGCAGCTTCTAAGGCATGACGGTGAAACCCAAAATCAGAACCCACACACTCTAAACTCGGCAGTCCTACCGTCTTAAACATGGTGATGAGAAGAAGAGACCTAAACCAAAAACCCTCAGCCACGCCGCCTCTTTGGCAAAATGTCCTACTCAGGAGGAATAGAAGGCCTCCGGGGCACCAATATCCCTAAACTCCAAGGGTAACAGGAGGGACCCGTAATAAGGGCCCCTAATATACCCTTAATATAGCTATTATATACCCATTATATAGCCCAATATAGGGCAGGGGTCCCCATTAAGGGTCCCCCCTTTTCCCCTTTCATAAACCCTGAAACCCTAAACCGCACCAATATGCGGGCATGACGGCCGTGAGGACTTTCTCGGCCCTTACGCAGCACCCCATGAAGGCTGTCATAACCCAACAGTAGTAATTACCCAGAGACTCCAATATCCCTTAATTAAGAAATACACCCTTAAATCATATTAAGGATCCTATTATAATTTACGGAATCTTCCTTCATTAAGGGATGGAGTCTCCGGGAAGGGATCTATAGGATTCCTTTCAAGGGATCTATAAGGGGTACCTTCCATAGGGGGTTTAGGGTTTAGGGTTGATGAGATATTGGAGTCTCTGGGTAATCACTGCCACGGCATGGCAGCTCGAAGCAAAGCACGCCTCCATGACTCGAGTGCCCAAGGGCACAAAGCGGGCGATGGCCTCAGTCGGTGGGTTTAGGGTTTAGAGGTTTAGGGTTTAGGGTTTAGGGTTTAGGGTTTAGGGTTTTGCAGGAGGGATCCGTTGGGAATAAAGTGATTCAACCAAAACCTTCCAACATGGGAGCTTCAACACAAGCCCCATATCCTCCGCTCCTTAACCCTGAAACTGAAAACCCTAAACTCCCAACCCTGAGGACCCCAAACCGTAAACCCTAAGCCCTAAAGACCCTAAACCCCAAAACCCTCTGTGAAAAGTGGACCCGACGAACTATTCCAAATCGCCACACCGCTCGAGACACCGAGGTCCTCACGTTCCCTGCTTCCACAAAGGTCAATGAACGAGGTGCGCCCCACCTTGCTAGGGTTTAGGGTTTAGGGTTTAGGGTTTAGGGTTTAGGGTTTAGGGTTTAGGGTTTAAGGTTTAGGGTGGGATGTATTAGAGATGGGGGTTGAGAGGTTCGGGTTTGGGGGTTTGGAAGGCTTGGGGTCTAGGAGTTTAGGGTAGGGTTAAGGAGTGTAAGGTGTAGGGTTTGGGGTGCCGGAGTTTATGGATTCGGATTTCCAGGATATACAAGCAGCTTGACCGTCATCGTGCGCGTTAGCAGACGCAGTTTTGAGGCCCAGAGTATCTGGCACCAACATGGGCTGAAAATGGAGGGGAGTTTGAAATACTACCCGTGGATCTCAAACCCTACTGCTTCCAAGGCTTACACACTATGATTCAGGGTTCACGAGTTTTGCATGATTTTCGGGCTACAGGTACAGGGTCAGGATTTAAGGTTGGGGTTTACGGTAGAGCCTTAGGTAGACTAGTAGATAGAGCCTGTCCTTTGCAAAGTGTTTGCTGTGGCGCATCTCAGCCGCGGGCGCCGTGTTCGACATCCTCGGTTCCAAGTCTTCAGCTCTGCTCGACCCAGATCTTCCAAAATCCCGGCAAATTCATGAATTAAATCATACAGTAGAAGCCCAAAAGTTGGAAACCCAATAGCCTCAATCCTCAAGAGCTATGTATAGGGAGTTCCAGCACTATTTGTCCTTCATCCGGTTTCCAACTTTATGGGGTTTACTATAACCTTGGAACATCAAGCCATAGCATGACCCATTCTGCTTCAATCAACAAGTCGTCTTGAGACTTTGCCTCGATGGTGATCATCCTCTGTGGAGAACCCAATGCCCAAACCCAACCCGAAGTCCCGAAGACGCAAAATCCGCGTGCCCTGATGCGAAAAGACAGAAACCATGATCTCTGAATACACCTCAGGCAGAGATCCTGTGATAATAGCCGGCATACTCCATATTAGAGGGTTTGGGGTTTACTAAACCCTAAACCCTGAAACATTTTTGGTTTAGGGGGTTCCCTACACCCTAAACCTTAAACCCCAAAACCTAAACCCTAAACTCTATCGTGCCAGCCAGGCGGCGCGATTTGCATCGGCCGGCTGAGTTGCGCGGACGTCGTCCAAGTGCCAGCCGGGGCGAGGCCCTCACAGGGGAAGTGTCCTAAACCGGTTTAGTTTAGGGTTTACGGTTTAGGGTTTAGCGGTTTCGGGTTTAGCATTTAGGGTTTAGGGTATTAGGGTCTAGGCTTATAGGGTTTTAGAGTATAGGGCTTTAGAGGTTTAGGGTGTAGTGTAGGGTAGGGTTTAGGGGCTTAAAGTCTAGATTTGTGCTTGATGATTTAGTTGGAGCTTAGTTCTACTGCTGTCTTGTGCTCCGACGCTCTGAGCGCACCGTCCCAAGGCCGCCAATCACGGTCGAGATGACATCAGACTGACCAGGCACCACCAGCACCTCAATGCAGCGAAGCGAAACCACAACCCCTCTGAAACCCCACAGAAAACGCCCCTTCCAAAGCGTACTACGGTTGATGGTATAAATCCTGCATTACCCAGAATAAGGAATATACTATTAGTGTAGGGTCCTGAGGGTAATGCAGGATTGATACCATCAACAGCAACTCTGAGAAACCTTTCTTTGCAAAGCCCTATCCTCTGATACACCAGATGGCCAAAGCATCTCATACTCCCAATCACTAAACCCTACATGAACCCTAAACCCTAACCCGTGAACCCTAAACCCAAGCCCCGAATTTTCATTTTTTGACTTATTTAACTTATCTGATATCATATCAATATCCATTTGACGAAAAGTAACTCTGGAAAGGAACCCCTAAACCCCAAACCACTTCTTCCAAGGCACGCCCCGTATGGCTGAATTCCCGGTGTCGGCAATCCAGTAGCCTCATGGTGTTTGGGTTTACGTTTAGGGTTTTGGGTTTAGGTTTACAATAAACCCCATAAAGTTGGAAACCTGATTAAGGCCAAATAGAGTTGGGATTCGATTGAGGCTATTGGGTTTCCAACTTTTGGGCTTCTACTGTAAGGGGTTAAGGTTCAGGATCAAGCATCAGAAACCCACTGCGTGCCGCAAGCTCGTAAAGGAACCCTGTTTTACTATCACATAAAGAAGAAGCCAGAAAGTTGGAACATGGCTTTAGGAGGATTCGTCCTAGGATCCCTTATAATTTACCTTGAGGGCATGAGGAGAATTATGTTCCAACTTTTCTGGCTTCTACTATACTATTATGGGAACCTGATTCAGAAACGACAGTAGGACCCCACAATATGAGGATCCTTAACACAAGTATCCAAGCAAGGACCCATGGTTTCAGGTTCCCATAATATCGCATATTTCTATCGCGACCTCCATTCCCAGAACCCCCGAGAGGATCTAGAAAGTATATACCCTAATTTGGGGCCCTATACTACTAAGGGTACTAATTTTAGGAACCCCCATTAAGGGATCTACTTTTTGGATCCTCCCGGGGTCTGGGAGTTGACCCCTTTAAGGAAACCGACCCAAGCCTCGCAAAGAGTCGCAGGCCACCCCTGTCGGGCCGTTCAGCCTCCCACGGAGCAGAAGCTTGAAAAGAGCGGTCGAGTTCTACTGCAGTACCCAAAGGCCCCAAAGAAGTTCCTTTTGGGGGTTCGTATAGAGAATCCTATAAGGCAATCCCACAAGGAAATACTATGGGGTCTCTGGGTATGTCAAAGTATACTAACGTATGTTCTAGTTAGTACAGTAAAATACTATCTAGAACTTACGATACTACTATCCCAAACCCCCGGGAGGATCCAAAAAGTAGATCCCTTAGGGGGGTTCCTATGAAAGTTCCCTGTAGTAGCTAGGGTCCCAAATGGGGGGATCTACTTTTTAGATCCTCCCGGCGGCCTTGGATAAACTCTTTGCATGTATAGTGTTGAGAGTATGGTATACTAAACGTACTCCTAGACACTCTCTGACCATGCTCCTGAAGGAAATTTGGGGGGGCAACAGTCGGATTCTCTGCAAGCCGTCAACCCTGAACTCTAAACCCTGGAACCTGATCCCTAGACTCAAAACCCTGAAGCCTGAACCTTGAACCCTGAAGCCTGATGTAGTGGCCTTAATAATTAACCCCCTACAACAAATCCTGAACCCAAATTCCTGAATATGGGTGGTTGTCAAAATTATGGTCCTTTTGTGGGTCCTTGTTATGATACCTCACCTAATATTTAGGGTACCCCAAAAAGGGACCATAATTTTGGCAACCACCCATATAACTGCAGTGTAACATGGGCCAATGGGTCCCAAAACCCTATTCTATTATTATGGCCCCTATAGGAACCCCACTTGGAGGCCCAGGCGACTTAGCAAGTAAGGTTATAATTGGGGTAACTCCATTTAGGGTACTTCTAACCCTACTTATAAGCTACTTACTAAGTCTCCTGGGCCTCTACGTAGACCCTAAACCCTAAACTCCATAGATCCCTTTAAGGAGCCCTATAGATCCCTTTAAGGAGCCCTTTAAGAACCCTTTACTAAGCCCTAAACCGATCTGGGCCTGGCTTGCGTAGGATCCCCGCCGTCTCCTCAGGCGCTTCAACCGCCGCTGGAAGAATCGTCTCAACTGGGTCCCTCGATGCGAAACCCTGCAGTATAGTATAGTAAAGTATAGTATAGTATAGTACACTATACTATAGTGTAGCATCTGGTAGAAAATTCTAGCATATTGTAATACATTCTAGCATACTCGAGCATAACTGGTTAAAAATATTTAAACACACAAACCCATTGAGAAACAGCGCCGAACACAAGTGCCAAAGCCCAAACTCGGCGTAAACCGGCAACATGGTAAAAAGAAACCCTGAACTTGAAGCCCTAAGCCCCAATACCTAAACCTCACGCCCTTATGCCGAACTCTAATCCCTAAACCCTATAGGCCCTAATTCCTAAACCTTAAGCCCAAATCCCTAAAACCCTAAACTTCCTAAACTTTATGCCCTCATCCCAGCACCCTAATCTTCCTAAACCTGTCTTTTGAGCGCCCGGCCGGAGTAGCCAGGAACTGAGCCGACTTTCGCGGTGATGTAACCGGTTTCGAGGTTGTAGGCCCTGACCCGGGCATTCCTGCAGAGAAAGCGGTCCGGGGCTTTGGGATTTTGGGGTTTAGGGTTTAGGGTTGAGGGTTTAGGGTTTATGGGCTTTAAGGTTCTGGGGGACAGAGTTTTAGGCTTCAGGGCGTTGGGTTCAGAATTTCAGTCCGGGGCTTTGGGATTTTGGGGTTTAGGGTTTAGGGGCTTTAAGGTTCTGGGGGACAGAGTTTTAGGCTTCAGGGCGTTGGGTTCAGAGTTTCAGGGTTTGGGGCGTCAGGTTTGAAGGCTTCGGGAGTTTAGGTATGTATGCGTGTATTCATGTAACTATGCGTCAGTATATATATATATATATATGTGTGTATATATATATATATATATATTATATATATGCATTTGGGTGTATGCAGTTACATATCTATATGTATGTGTACATATATACATATATACATATTTGTAGGTATGTTCGTGCGTATATGTGTATATATGATATGCATATGTATATATTGTGTGTGTATGCACATCCTAAACCCTATGTATAAATTCCGTCAAAGGAAAACGGAGCTCCCAGCTTTGAAGGGTCCGGTAGTAAACGGCCCTAAACCCCTAACAAGGCCCTGTTCCCTGAACCATAAACGACCCTAAACCCTAAACCCTAAAAGGCCCTATAGTAGGAGCCAGAAAGTTGGAACATGGGTTAAGGAGGATTAGTGCTAGGATCCCTTATGCTCTACCTGAAGAGCATGAGGACAATGATGTTCCAACTTTCTGGCTTCTACTATATGGGTGGTGGTCAAGGTCCCTTTTTGGATCCCTGTTATAATACGGCACCTATTATTTAGGGTACCCAAAAAGGGACCATAATTTTGACAACCACCCAAAAATTAACCCTAAGCCCCTAAACCCTGACCAAACCCTAAGGTCCGGTAGTCTGCGATGAGCAGCTCCCCGCGGCACACGGCGAGACCCATGGGCTCATGGAGCCTCTCGGGGAAAGGTTTAACATAGGGGCCTTCATCATGTCAACAGAGTTCCCTTTAAGAGGGATCCTTAAGAAGAGTCCTATAAGTATTACTTCAACTATAGGGGTCTTAGTAATTTCAAAGGGTTCCTTATAAAGGGATCTTTAAAAGGATCTATTGTAGGGTTCTATAATATGGTTGTGGGTTGGGTTTTAGGCTTTAGGGTCTTAGGGTGCAGGGTTTGGGGGGTTTGGGTGCGATTTGTTGGATCTGATTCAGGTTCTCTTTGAAGGGATTCGGGTCTGCGGCTGAGGGTCCGGGGTTCAGGGCCTGGAATCTTAGGCCTGAGGCTTTGGGTTTTAGGATTTCGCCACATCCCGGGGCTTGAAGGGTTCGGCTTGAAGCCTTCATTTACGGTTGCCGTTGGGGCTCCTGACCCTAAACCCTAAACCCTAAACCCTAAACCCTAAACCCTAAACCCTAAACCCGTAAACCCTAAACCCTAAACCCTAAACCCTAAAGGAGGGTTTTGGGGGGGAGTGCAGGAGTTGAGGGTTACCCAGCGTTCAGGGGATGTTCAAGGGCTTTAGGTTTGCAGGGGCTCCTTGGGTTCATAAGGCCCCCAAAAAAGCACATAAGCAAAAATTTAGGGTAGGGATATCTCATATAAATCCCCTTATAATGAAGCCCAAATAAGGTAAGGATATCCCCATAGAATGCTTATGCTTCTGTGCTTTTTGGGTCCCTGAGTTTAGGAGCCCTGTGTATAGGCTCGGCGGGAGTCGCAAAGGTTACAGTTAGGAAACCTCACCTTTCGGGTGCGTCATATGGGTAGTTGTCCACACGGTTTAAGGTTTTGGGTTTAGGGTTTAGGGTTTAGGGTTTAGGGTTTAGGGTTGTCCAAACTAAGATCCTTCTTGGGTACCCTAAGTATTAGGTGATACTAGGGACCCAAAAAGGGTTTATGATTTCTTGTCAAAATTAGGGCCCCTTTTGGTGTACCCAAAAATATGAGGTGCCGTAGTATAATAGGGACCCAAAAGTGTGACTATAATTTCCACAACCACCCATGTATGAGAGTTTCCGAACTTAGGGGACCCTCATATGGTACCCTAAATAGTGGGATCCTTATTATAGGGACCCAAAAAGAGACTCTAATTTCGACAGCCACCCTTATGGATCCCTTATAGTAACCCTTATAGACCCCTTTAAAGGAACCCCATAAGGATTCCTTTGAACCTTATATAATTTCCACAACCACCCAATATAGAGCGTCTGCGGATCCTTAGCTGCGTTTACGCCGCTTAGATACCTTACTTGGAGGGTCGGGGGACTTACATAGTAACTGGTTATTTTAGGGACTTATAAGTATCATAACCCCAATTAGGGTCCCTTTTAGGGTACTTATAAGTCTACTTACTAACTACTTACTAAGTCCCCCGACCCCCCAGATACAACTGAAAAAGCCTCATGGCCAAAATTTGGAGCAGGGTTTGTTCGCTCGGCTGAGGCTAGGCCTTGTGTGTCTGCTTCTTAGTAGGAAATGAGGGAATGGATTATGGAGACGACTATTGGGGATTATATAGGGTCTACGATAGGGATCCATTCCACCATTCCCTACTAAGAACCAAACAGTTGTGAAGTTTCTGTGGGTGAGTTCGGCCTCACAACAATTTTTTGGTACTCAGGTCTAGAGCTCAGGGCTTTGGGGTTTCGGACGAAATACCCCAAACATGCTGAAACCCTATCCCAAACCCAAAACAAACCCTCGGTTAAAGGACTGCCCTAGGAACCGCGAAAGCCTAAACCCTGAACTTTAAACAGTCAGGCCTCGCATCCAGGCCTGGCCCCCCATCGCCGCAGACCTCAGCCAAAGCCACGAAGCCCAAGCCCCCCACATCCTTGAAGGGTTTGGGATCTGCGGTTTAGGGTTTAAGGGTCGAGGTTTGGAAACTAAACCGTAATCCTCACCTTAAGCTACCGAAACCGACCCTTGTTGTAGGTTCTTATCATAAGCCCAAGGTTGGACTTACACGGCCAAAAAGTAGGTTTTGGTAGGTGAAGGTCTTTTTCGGCCAAAGTACAACCTTGATTCTCGAACTTGGGCTTGTTACAGGAGGGTACTAGGGATCCTTCGGGAACCTTACGGGAACCTTAGGGAGCCCTAGAGAGAACTACTGATTTGTAGGTTATCGATCCGCCTTCCCTGGGCATAAAAATAGCCCAAAAGCCTTACATAGTATGGTCTTTGGGCCCAAAAAGTCTCAATATATGAGTCCTTAGATCCCTAGGGCTTGGAGCCCCCTCCCATAAGGATACTACAAAAAAGTGAACCCCATAAAGTTGGAAACCGGATCAAGGCCAAATAGTGCTGGGATTCCCTTACATTACTCTTCAGGCCCATAACCTACTTGTCGGGTATCATGGGGAACTAAAGGTTAACCTTTTTGGGTATATAGGGATGAGATGGGGACTATACTACCCAAAAAGGTTAAAGCGCGACGTGGAACAAGCTGCGTCCCCAGCGAAAGGCGTGAGGCGAGCTTCGCCCAAAAAAGATTAGAGGTTACCTACTCTACTACTAGGATAAGGATAGTAAAACCTTGAATCTGGTCCGGATCAGGTATGCAGTCGAGTTTCTCGTTTGGGGTTTAGGGATAGGGTTCCTGGGGTTCCTTTAAAGGGTGCTATAAGGGGTTCCTTTAAGGGATCTAAAAAGGGTTTAGGGTTTAGGGTTTGGGGCTTGGGGTTTAGGGAAAAGTTTGAGATGGATTCTGAGCCACGGAGAACGAATTACAAAGCAGCAAGTGCCAATGAGCTCAAGAGGTGCAATGACTATGATTTGAGTCTTACCAGGATTAGGTGCGTAGGTCGGTTGGTTTAGGGTTCAGGACTTCAGGCTTTTGCAGCTATCCACATTGGAGACCTTACTAGAAAGTTCAAACGGAAGACCTTGGCACGGATGTAAGATCGAATGCTATCATCGCGGGATCTGGATAATCAAAGTAGAAAGTCTATTCCACAGGGTTCGAAAGTGGAGTTATCATTAACATGAACCAGTGGAGATTGGGTTGTACGGTGTTGAGCTGAAGGAAACTGTCTAGGAAGACAAGATATAAGAACATAAGAATCCAGTCGTACCTCCACGAACACCCTCCGTGTGCTTATGGCTTTCACTTTCAGGGCCTGCCGATTCAAGAAGCTGGCAAGCTGGCTCTGCGCTGCTCTCAGCACGAATTATCGTTCTGAGCCCTGCAGAAGCATCGACAGGAGAAGCGGCGAAAATCGAGACTGCTGCCCATAAAGCAAGCCAAGTACTGGAACAGCAGCAACAGCACCTGGGTCTTGACAGAAAAGTGTCTCATTTTCTGGGCCCCCTATTAACTACCCTACACCCTAAGCTTAAACCCTGAATCCTGGAATCTTGAAACCTAAATATACTCAAAGAACGTAAGAGAGATCCCGGCAACTGGCCAAGGCGCGATGGCACCAAACCCGGCAAACCATGGTAAGGACGGCGGTTTTGTCAGGGTGATCATCAGAAGGGCGTTCCCAAGACCCATGAGGAGAAACAGGTGTACGTAGAGACCCAGCCCACAAAGCCAAACCATGACGCAAGAGCCCGCATTGAGCGGATGAAACCCGGTCTCGGTCTCGGCCGTCAGCACGGCCCCCAGAACCCTCAGCAACAGAGGGAAAAGGCTCTGAAAGCCCGGCCACGTGATCAGAAAGAGGCCCAAGCCATCATACGTCCACATTTGCCTTACTTTTGGTTAGTAGGGAATGGAGGCATGGGGTAAAATTATAACTACTATTACTACCATTCTTCCATTCCCTACTAACCAAAGGTAAGTTGCGTTAGAGACTGGAAGCCTTGGGCCTTCGGAGCAAGGTCGCAAGGGAGCCCATCACACGCCAGGAATGCCGTCGCGATCGAAAAGAGAAAGGTGGGCCTATACTGAACTTAGAACCCTAGCAAAAATTTTAATTTTAGCTGTTTCTTAGGGATTACAATAACCAAAAATTAAAAATTATTTCTAAGTACCCCTAAGGGGCAGCATGGCGAGCATGCACATGCTGATCGGAATGTGAGTCACCTCGCCCAGATCGCGCCGAAGTTCGCTGAAGAGGGGCCCGCGCACTTGCTCATTGAAGATCTGCAAGCACTCCGCAAAGTCTGGATAACTTGTGATGTTCCTCACTGCCTCATCTCGGAGGACTTCCTGGGCTTTTAAGTAACCAGGGAGAAAAAAGTACGAACTGTTATTTCATAATGGTTCCATTAAGAAAAAAGTATTAAAGTATGGTACTCCAAAGCCCAGCTTCTGCCTCTGAAGGCAGCAGAAGAGCTGCAGCAGGGTCCATGAGGGAAGTCGAGAACTCATCTGCACTGAAAACGACGCTGATCGGGGCGTCGTCGATCCCATCATACACCCGGGCAACGATCGCCTCCAGCAACGTGCGATCCTCCTCAACGCTGCACTTGGCAGAACGAATGTCAAAAGACTGCAACTGCTTGAGCATGGCTTGGTGCTGCTGGATCTTTGCGACAAAGGATACCTGTCAGCCCCCGCTTGACCCAAAATAAAAACGTATGTTGAATGATCCCTTAGGCTTATGTTGAAATGCAAACGAAAGCTCATGCCTGAGGAACACCCAGATACAAGTGCGGGAAGAAGTGCCGGCAGGTATGCAACCAGTATGAGACCCCAGAGCAACGTGCACTCTGCAAGAAAGCCCCAACGGGAGACTGGCGCTTCATTTCCTTCATGTCCTTGACTCCAAAAAAGGAAGACCAAAGGCATCGTCAGCCGTGCGCAGAACCAATCCAGGAACATCGTACAAAGGAGCCATGGTGCCAGCCACACAGGTACGATGTGAAGCTTTCTGAGGTCACCCTTCTTCAGGAATAACGACATCTCCATGCAACACCACAAGCGATCACAGTACGTGTTGTCCCATAGGATGAGCATCTCCGATGAGCACTTTACAAAGGCAGGAAGCATTGAAATGGCCTCTTGTTTCAATGCCTCGCTAGTTTGGGGGATACACAGCGAGTCGATCCACATAGTTGGGGAAGTGACTCCGCATCTGCACACATGAGCAAAGAAAAAGCTGAGAAAGAATACCAGCAGTGGCAAGTCCACCGCCAAGAGGAAAAGATAGGGGCTGCTCGCGAGGTTGTTAACATCGCCAGTTGCTGCAAGGCACACAGGTCCAACAGCTGCTGCAACCAAAGCGGATTTCACTGCAAAGATTCCGTTCAAATGAAAGCACACCGCTAAGGTCTTGCCCCAGCGCCCAGCACTCCATGAGTGGCTGATGAAGACATCCACCTGACCGGTTTACAGTGCCGTCGGTATCATTGAAGTAGAAGCCAGAAAGTTGGAATATGATTATCCTAAACCCTTTAAGGTAAATTATATGGGATCCTACCATTAATCCATATTCCAACTTTCTGGAGTTCCCTGTATTATGTTTCTTGTTACTCTTTTTATGAAAATTATCATTACTAATGTTTACCATTACTCGTAGTACTATGACTATTACGAATACCAGTACCAGTAAAGTCACCTGTACCATTACCCTACCATTACTATCGCTACTACCATTACGTTTACAGTTATTCTTCTTATTGTTGCTATCAGTTCTATGTTCATGTTGGTCTTCTTATTCTGAATAGCACCCATATTCTCGTCAATATTGGGCTTTCGCACAATCATAATTCATAACCATAAGACCCCCAAGCCGGAAAGACGGCGCAATACAAAAGATGTCACACAAATCAAGGAGTATCAAGTAATAAGTAAGACAGCTATGAAGCTGAATGTAATGGAAACAACTTCTGCATAATGGAACGGAAGACATGCGTGCATGCATACATACATACATACATACCCCCAACCTCTAAACCCTAAACCCCTAAAGCCTAAACCCTAAACTCCTAAACCCCTAAACCACCCGAAACCCCAAGGCAGCAAAGCCTGAAACGCTAAGACGCCCAAAGTGGCTCATGCCAGCCTGGTCAACACACTTCGTGAAATCATAAGCATCGCCATCACCTCAGAAAATGGCTTGGGATTTTCTTTAAGCGCCTGTTTCAGTCTTGCAAGAATCCGGGATTTAGGGTTTAGGGCTTAGGGTTGGGATTTAGGATTTAGGGCTTAAGGTTGGGATTTAGGGTTTAGGGCTTAGGGTTGGGCTTTAGGGTTGGGATAAGGGCTGCGGGCAGGGCTACAGGCAGAGGGTTAAGCCTCGATCCCAACAAAAATCTCCCAAAACCCTAAACCCTAAACCCTAAACCCTAAACCGTACGTTCGAGAGCCCAGCAGCCGAAGCTGTCTCTGCAAAACGCGCGGCCCATTCCCGCCAGAACCTGCTTTAGGGTTTAGGGTTTAGGGTTTAGGGTTTAGGGTGCCAATGTTTTGCAAAGGCTTTCCAAGGTTCTGTCTAACGTTATGTTTTTTCAGTGCTCCCCAGACCTTCCAAATCCCCTTAATTAAGGAATATACCTTAAATTATAGTAGGGTCCCTAATATGATTTAAGGTATATTCCTTAATTAAGGGGTTTTGGAAGGTCTGGGTCCTTACAGACATCTGACCAGTTGACTGAGCTTTCATCAGGCTTCACACGCTATGTTAACAGTTCAAGGCTTTATCTAGGCTTATGAAGAGCAACAAACTCTCCACGCACCTGAACCCGGCTCGGGGGGCTTAGGGCTTATGGCTTGGGGTTTAGGGGTTTAGGGTCTAGTATGGGATTTAGAGTCAGGGCATGGTATCGCGTATGCTCGGAATATTTTGAGGGCTGCATCTACCAGTTTCATGGGATCTATACTGAACTTGGAACCCTAGCAAAAATTTTAATTTTAGCTGTTTCTTAGGGATTATAATAACCAAAAATTAAAAAATATTTTCTAAGTACCCCTAAGTTATAGAACCCTGATAAAGCCCTTCCGGGACTCCTTATGGGAACCCGTAAATGAGCCCTGCTGCTCTTGAGACGTAGCCGTGCCTGTGTCGGAGATGCTGCTCGAAACATGCCCGGAGCTGGTGGCTTCAGCCAGCCCAGCTCCTGCGACCCAGACCGCCCAATATGACCTAATTAAGGAATCAATCCCTACAGTTTAGGGTTCAGGGCTTAAGGCCTAAACCCTAAACCCTAAACTCGAGGAGCGTGAATAATCTGATGTACGGCATATTCCGCCATGAAGGCTTATCGGGCTGTCTGGGCCTCACGTGGGTTACAGGCGTACAGGGTTTTTGACATTGATCGGGGTTTAGAGGGCTGTGAATACAGGTTTGCTTGATTCGTGTGGGGGTTTTGAAAAGGATTCATAGGCGATCTACAAGGTCTCTAGACAGGTTCAAAAAGCTTTGGGGTTGTGATTCACGGTTTGGATTTCGGGTTTGCGGGCTTCGGGGTCTGAAGCTTTAGCCCCAAACACAGGCCTATGGGCAACAAGGAAAAACCGATATCTTGAAAGGCAAACTCTCCGTCCCAATGGAATAGGGTTTTGGGGTGTTCGGGTCTTGGGGTTTACTGTACCGTTCAGGTTCTTGTGTAGGGTTTGATGTCTAGGGTCTCGTCCGGGTCCGTCCTGCCATCGCATTGACCAAGGGTGGACGCCAGCTCTGTGAGAAGCTGGCGAGCTGTCCGTCTCTGTTCGTGAGCTGCGCAGTTTCGGTCTGGAACCAACGGCTTCGGGGCTGTTCTGAACTATGCGCTTGGGTACTGCCCCCATACAGTAACAGTCTATAAAAGGGCTTCTATTAAGGTCCTAATAGATCTATATAATGAATATTATCCAACTGTCACTGAGTGGGGGCTGTACCCAACTATGCGCTAAAGAACATGCTGCTATGAGACCCCACCAGGAAGCTGACTGCCATGTGCACTGCACAATACTACTCGCAATCACAAGCATAACAACAAGAGGAAGAAGAATTATGATAATGATACTGACAACAATACTACTGATACTATGACTAGTAAGAACACAAATAATAACAATAATGATGTATTTTATGATAACTAATAGTAATCATACCAACAATAAATAACGATAACAGTCATAACAACTATAGAAATACAAAAGGAATAGTTCTCATACTAAGACTAGTGCAGTACAAACAATAGTAGTACCATAATTAACAGTCAGACTGCCACGGGCTCACCACGTCCATGTCTGATTTGATCAACTGGCTCCCATTGAGGCACCGGGTGGAACAACAACCTTAGACCATCTTAGACCTTTTTGGAATAAGGAGCCCACACTGGAGGCTCATACTGCTTTGACGGTGCCGGGGTGTAGGGAAGGAAAGGCTTATGATACTACGGCAAGCTCATGAAGCCCCAGAATCACCCTGGAACCTTGAACCCTAAACCTGTGCCCTAAACCTCTGAGTGAACAAACACTGAAAACTATGTCTACACTTCCACTTCCACAACTAAACCCGTCGAACAGTCCAGCATTCTGAGTCCAGCGCATCCCCGGGTTCAAAGGGCGGCAGGCAATTCCCGGGGTTTAAGTCTCCCACGATGGTCCTCGAGGGTTCTAAGAGCTTGGGGGTTCAGGGTTTTTCATGTCTAGGGTTCAGATTTGCAGGTTTAGGGTTTAGGGTTTAGGGTTGAGGGTTTAGGGTTTAGAGTTGAGGGTTTTGGGTTTAAGGTTTTAGAGACCATATTTATGGCACCGTTCAACATGCATTGCACGCGATTGGCCATCGTTTAAGCTTGGGCGGCTGGGTTTGGAGCTGCGTGTATATGCAGTATTACTCAGAACTGCTGCTACCCGTGCAAACACAGAGAGGGCCCACTGCTTCGCATTTTGAGGAATACTTGGAGGCCAAGGGGACTTAGTAAGTAGGTTATAAGTAGGGTTGTAATTGGGGAAACTCCACTTAGGGTACACCCTACTTATAACCTACTTACTAAGTCCCCTGGGCCTCTAAGTATCCAGTATCAGGGACCCTTAAGCTTCGGTTACATTCCGGAATTAAGAGGCACTGGGCTCCCTGGGGACAGAGACTACCATAGGGGCCTTTATAATTAGAATAGGGTTTTGGAGCCCATTATGCTGTAACTGTAAGGAACCCCAAAATAGGCAATTATCTAGGCCCCTATATTAAACCCTCATAATTATAGTATCCCTAATAGGACCCTTTTTCAGGCCCAGGTTGTCAGAACCCTTTGAAGGACACCCTATTCTAACCATATTCTATTCGACTAAAGCCTAAACCCTATAGTTCCCTTAGGGGAACCCTTATGGTACCCTTTAAAGGAACTATAGGGTCTAGGACCCTGTAGATAGACCCTAAGCCGTGTCCTAACGCTGCCGTTGACCAGATTGGCCTGCCTCACCTGCCCAGCGTTGCCGATGGGCGGGGGTCTCTCGGCGGGGTTTGGGGTTTAGGGGTTTAGGGGTTTAGGAGTTTAGGGGTTTGGGGGTTGGGGGTTTAGGGTTTAGGGCTTTAGGGGTTTAAAGGTGTAGGGGTTTAGGGTGTTCTTTTTTTGAACGCCT